AAAAAAAATCGCAATCACGGTGCAAGCGGGCTCATGCAGCGAACTATAATCTGCAATGTTTACTGTCTCGGGCATTACAATTTTCCCCGTAAGACGTAAGACGGGGTACGGGGGCGCCGCGTGGTCAAAAACCGTTTAATGGCAATCGGTGCATGCCATGCCATGGGCGCTGCACGCCGCTGCACGCGCAGCAGGGACATCTCGTGCGGGCCGCTCTCTGTTAGTGCGGAAACACGCTCACCGGCCCGCATTCCAATCCAATCATTTCCAATCCAAATTACTTAGGCCCTTGTGAGCGGCGCGCGGCGCCAGGCTGGGCGTGCCGCTGGAGGACCTGCAGCGCCGCCGGTAAACGGAACCGACGCCCCGCCCCGCGCCCCGGCGTGTGGGTTAGGCCCTCCTCTGTGTGTGATTGCTCACTCAATCCCGATGAGAAAAATCATTTGTTGGAAAGGCGGAGTTGTAGTTACTGAGGGGATTTTAACGTCCGAAATTTTTTGAGGGAAAATTGGAAACATCCCCTGAGAAAAATTGGAAAAAAATTTAATGTTTCCAGAAAAAATAAAAAAATTAAAAACTTTTCATGAAAAAAATCAGATATTTAAAAAAACAACAAAAAAAACCATCTTCAAACATTTCGCAAAAATATTTTAAGAGAAGAGCCATTTTTGGGGACTGTCTAAAAATTAAATTTAATCAGATTCCAACGAAGTTTAACTACTGAAGTCGCATATAGTTCGAACTATTAATTCTTCCACCCGGGAAATCCCTAGCCAGGCAGCAGTTAGTCGTTTGGGTAAAGGGCAGAACCGCGACGGATTGGGTGGGGGGGGGGAGTCTGTACCCGCGGCACCTCGCCGCGCACTGCACACACACACACACACACACACGCTAACGCAGTCGTCATTATGTAAATGTGGTAATTGCGACGCGTTAATCAAGCCCCGATTTCCGTTCGTGACTTAAGGACGCGCGCGTGCAGCGGGCGTGCAGCGGGCGTGCGTGGGCGTGCACGACGTGCCGTGTATCTCTTTTAGCGAGAGTGCTGTGCCCGCCCCGCCCGCACACCTCTGCTGGGAAGAGACGCGGTGTCCTCCATTGTGGCGAGGCCACTCATCGGGCCGCCCCGTCGGCAGGGTTCCCGAGTCGCTTTCGGCGGCGGCGCCCTTCCGCAGGCTGCCGTCTCAGTCAGTTTACCTGGGAGGGCCCGCGCGCCTTTAGGGCGAGTCCCCCTTCTGGACCGCGATAAGGTATAATCGTGATCTAGGATACAAGGGTTGGCCGTGTTCGGAAGCAGCTTTATCATCAAGGGCGCCTGCTTCTTGATAATGAACCGGAGAGTGTGAAACGAACGGCGGTTTGTGAGATAAAGGCACATCAAAGGAGGTGCCCGTTGAGAGGATCCCCGGCGGTGAGGACTTCAATGAGCAGGGCGTCATTGACGGACACCGTCACCGAGGATGCCGTCATCGAGGACGCCGTCATTGAAGACGCCGTCAATGAGGACGCCGTCATTGAGTACGACGTCATTAGGACGCCGTCAATGAGGACGCCGTCAATGAGGACGCCGTCAACGAGGGGGGGTTTTACTTCAAGAAAACGTGAACAGAGTATACTCCGTATTACACTGTCTTCCGCGGTATTACGCCGGTATTACATGGAAAAAATTACCATTTTAAAGCATATTTTGATATTTTTCGGTATTACATTGTGCGTAATTCCGTGTAATACCCAGGTCAGGTGTACAGGGTATTACGCAAGGTAAAACCGGCGTGTGGACGACTGCGGACATGACCTGGGTCCCGAGGGTCAGGAGTGACAACTGCGGACATCGCGCGCGGGAGGGCGCGCTCCTCGAACGCGGCCGGCCGACCGGGCGGCCGAGTGTGACAACTGCGGACGTCCATGACCGACGGGTTGCCTACTCTGGCTCCGGCAGGCGCTCCTCCGCCTGGGCGGCACGTCCAGGCGCTTGAGTGCTAACGGAGCTAGGCGGGTTCAATCGCGTACAACAGAGAGTGGTCGCTGGTTCGAATGCCAGCAAAGGAGGCTGGTGGGTTGCCTAC